ATTGATGTTGGCCTTGATGTCGATGGTCCTGGGTCTGATCCTCCTGTCCATGTGGCAGACCTGTTCACGAATAATTGTTTTGGTGCGGCGGGACTTGATGTCGTTTTTGATGATTCAAGCACTCTTCCTATTTTTGGTACAAGTTATAATGATCCTCAATGCAACACTCCGGGCATTCATGTTCAACCACAGACGCCTCTTGCTCCATTCCGTGGCCAGAATTCAGCAGGCGAGTGGACACTTGTTATCACAGATACTTCAGCAGTTGATTCGGCTACCCTTCATTCATGGACCGTTCATATCACTCCTTGTGCTGATGGTTTGACTCGAGGTGGAGCTGGTGATTTCGTTGTTGTTGGCGATGGAGCTGGCACTGGTGACCCCCACTTCAAGACATGGGCTGGAAAGTGGTTTGACTTTCATGGAGTGTGTGATTTGGTTTTTGTTAGCAGCCCATCTTTTGATCATGGTACTGGATTGGCAATTCACATCAGGACCAAGGCTCGCTACCAGTACTCGTTCATTGAATCTACCGCTATCCAGATTGGCGATAGTGTTTTGGAGGTTGGTGAATATGGCAGCTACCTCTTGGATGGCATCTCCAATGCTGACCTGGACTCAGAGAAGCTTGACAACTACGCTGTGACCCACGAGAAGGTTGGCTCAAAACAAGATGTGTTTACTATTGAGCTTGGAGCTGGAAAGCAGATTGTTATCCAATCTTTCAAGGACCTTGTTAGTGTCAAGACCGTTGGTGCCACCTTTGAGGAGTATGGTGGCAGCAAGGGTCTGTTGGGTGAATTTGGAACTGGCAACTGGCTTGCCCGCAATGGAACCATGATGCTGGATGCCAATGCCTTTGGCCAGGAATGGCAAGTCCGTGAGACGGAGCCTAAGCTCTTCCAGACAAACAGATTCCCCCAGCATCCAGTTCAATGCAATATGCCTAGCACTGAGAGAGTAGGACGCCGTCGCCTTGGAGAGTCCTTGGCCAAGGAGGTTGCCGAGAAGGCATGTGATCACTGGGGAGACTTGAAGGACCAATGTGTCTTTGATGTCATGGCTACTGGAGATTTGGAGCTGGCCGAAGCTGGGGCTTTTTAAGAAGTATTTCTTTATTGGAAGTCCAAGGGGGAAAGGCCCGGTTTCAGCCGTGCATTGAAAATAACTCGGGAAAACCACGGCAACAAGAAACCAAACCTCCATTTGGACGCTGCTACCTTGGGGCAATTGGTTCCACCTCGCATGTGAATTGTTTGTAGAGAGTGTTGTACATGTAGTAACTCTTGTATCTTAGATTATGCTCTATTAGTATGAGGTGGAAGGGTCCCAAACAGTACGTTTCTTGTGTTTGTTTTCCTGCTTAAAGGCAAGGTTTAGTAGCATGCCCTGTGAGGCTAGCATTTTGATGGTGTGGTTCCTGTTGTGCAGGACAGGAGGGATCTCATGTTCCTGGTTTAATGAATTGAATTGAATCATCCAATCCAAACCTGACTACACTCTGTAGCGTCTCGGGTTCACAAGATCTTCAAAGGGATTTCTAGGAGACTACAGATCTAAGAGATTCTAGAGCCAAGCCATCAATACAGAGGCAATACCGTCGGATTGATCTAGACTAGCTAGAGGGTGTAGAGCGTTGGAGTCGCACTATTAGCTAGCAACTAGCTAGTCACTGACTCAAATCTTCCGCAGAAAAGTTCAAAAGCTCTTCTCTCAATCGCTGTCGTCCGGCGACCCTTCACCCTCTTCCGATTGGTGGTCCTTCTCTTGTTGTCCTTCCGGTTGCTTGTTGTCCTTCGCATCTTCCACAATTGCAGGTGACACCCGCAATAGCGATCCGTTGGCCTCTAGCATTTCCATGGTGGTTCGAAACATGCCCACAAACATGAGAAGATCCGCTTGGTCTTCCTGTGACTCCTCCTCTCCTTCGTCCTCTCCATTCTGATCGCCTTGACCGTTTCCCTTGTGCTCCGTTTCAATCATTTCGAGGTGACGATTCCAATCGAAATCTGTCTTGGCACGCAAGAGTGTATCTTGCACCCATTGCAAGGCACCCTCGGTCCCCATCCACATGCCCATTTGTTCGTCATGACAGTACTCAATGGCCTGCCCTGGTAGATCGCCGGCATCTTCAATGTCATCGGTGTATTCCATGTACTGATGAAAAAAATCGGAAAATGCCAAGTAATAGGCACATAGTGGATTGCCGTCAAACGCTCGTAGCAATGCCTGTTCAGCTTGTTGGCGTGTGGATTCCCCAAAGTCGTTCCAACGAATATATTCCACCAATGCCACCGAATAGAGGACCCAAACGGATGTTTCCTGTTTGCCCGCAGCGGAGAGTCGTGTGTTCCAGAGTTCATGTACCGACTGGGGTCGATTGACCTGTAGATAGAGTCGCATAAAGTGACATCGGGCATTGGTGATGGGATGTTGAATGCCGTCCAAATCGAGGCATTCCAACAAGGCAGTCCGTGCCGTCTTGAACTTGCTGGCTTCTTTGTTGAGTAGACCGTACTGCATGAGAAGTGCGAGAAGTTGTCGTCGATAGGGATAGGAAAGGTCGTCATCCGTAAATTGTTGTCCAAATTTCCCCTTGTAGAGTACGAGTAGATTCTGTACTCGTTTGGCTTTTTCTCGAGCTTCTTCGTGCGCCTTTAGATGAGGACACTCGTATCGGACATCGAATTCATTGACCATCCAAGCGGGACGAGCAGCGCCCTTGAGTTTCCAAGATTCGGGACCTAATCGACCCTTCTTTTTGGGTGGTTCCTTTCGTTTGCGTTCCTCTTCATCTCGACGCTCCTGTTCTTCGGCGTTGTCCCATTTTCGCAATCGTTCTCTCAGTGTTTCAATTTCTCGTTGGGTCTTGGTAATGTTCAGACGCAATTTGGCTCCTTCTCGTTTTACTCTTGAATCATGCGTCAATTTGGCAGTTAGTTTGAACCGTCGTTCTTCCTTGACTTGATGCTTGTCTTCCTTGACTTGTCCTTCTCCTTCTTCTCCTTCCTGCCGTTGTTGCTGCTTTTTGTGCCGTTTATTTGCTTGTTGTTCTTGTCGCAATGCATGATGGGCACTGTCCCAAGTGGTTGTCGCTCCACTACTAGAGTCGCCACCACTGGATCCTTTGCTGCGCTTCTTGTTCTTGCCCATGGTTTGATTATTATTTGTGTTCGAGCTGCTCTGCCAAAGAATTGTTGACCTGGAGCTTTGGATGAAGAGACGGAGAAGCCAAGGAGAAAACACAAAAACTAATGTGTGGTGTGGGTATATTTGTGACTGGACCCAATATCACGAATAAGTCGTCACCACGAAAGCGCCTGTTCCGAGAACGTTCTGAGAGCGGGGGACCGAGGAAGCAAAGACAGCCAACAATTAGCTATTTTAAAATAGCGGGTCCAGGCCACCGTGCTGTTAGACTACTTTGAGGCTGTCTACAAGCTAGTCTAGCCTCGTAACCATAGCTAATATATATTGAGGCTATCACTATGACTATAGTAGGCTATCTATAGTAGGCTATCACTATGACTGTCATATCACTATGACTATAGTAGGCTATCACTATGACTATAGTAGCTTTTGAATTTATACTGTAGTAAGAAGAAACAACAATCCAGAGTTGGTCCGAATTTGAGATGGCAAACAGGAGGGCGCAAACTGTTAATAATGGCGGGCTTTGTGGGGGTTGCCGGGGGTTTGGCTGGATGGCTGAATGGTTGAATGGCTGGAAGGATGGATGGCTGGAAGGTTGGATGGATGGCTGGAAGGTTGGAAGGTTGGTTGGTTGGTTGGTTGGTTGGTTGGTTGGTTGGTTGGTTGGATGGCTGGAAGGTTGGATGGATGGCTGGAAGGTTGGAAGGTTGGAAGGTTGGTTGGGTGAATTTTAAAAGAGACACCTACACGCATGGGTCCGGAGCCTTGCTAGAACAGTGATTGAGGTAGTATGAGTCTAGGTTGGTCCCTGCTCCTCGAGGGAAAGAAAAAAAGTGAGGAACAGGGACCAACCTAGACTCATACTACCTCAGTCACTGTTCTAGCAAGGCTCCGGACCCATGCGGGGGACCTTGCCAATACTATTGTGAGGCTAGAATGACAACTTCCTGGTTCATGCCGCTTCCTATCATCCCCATCCCCGCGCCAGATAGGAAGTGGCACGAACGAGGAAGCTGTCATTCTGGCCTCGCAATAGTATTGGAAGGTCCTTACATTTGAAGTGGTCACGTAGGTAGGAAGAGAGCCGGGAAGAGAGCCGATGCGAGAGAGAGCCGATGCGAGTCGAGTCCGAGCCCTGTAGGTAGGAAGAGAGCCGACGCGAGTCGAGTCGGAGCCCGTCTGAAGAAGTCGATCCAACATCGCGATACTTCTGGAGCATGCCAGAAGGGCCGTGGAGAATGGAACATAGAGTAGTAGATCTTGACCAGACTGACCGAGCCATCAAAGGAAGAGAGCAGCTACCAACCAACCGACACGACGTCAAAGACTGAAGAGGACTCTAGCATGCCAACCGTAGATAGATGAAGAAAGGAGTGCCCTTGCATGGCACGGACCGAAAAGACAGAGGAACCAGGATTGCATTCGAAGGAACTGTCTACCAGCAATGATATCAATCCTGCGACAATAGATATATAAGAGAGAGAGAGAGAGAGAACAAAAACAGAGTCAGTCTCGAGCTAGAGAAATGCATGAAAGTATTGTGCCCCCCGACCTCTGGTGTCATCAGCAAAGAATAGTACACATTGCTTTGCTCGCAATCAAAGTGGATTGATGGACGGTTGGTTGGTTGGTTGGTTCTATGGTTGGGTCGGAAGTGGATGGTATGAAAAAGGGTAGATGGTTGGTTGGTTGGTTGCGCCGCATTGGTTGGGTGGGTGGCATGGGTGGTGGCTGGTAATGAGCGAATGTGTACTATCCTTTGGCTGTGTAGGCAGACACCATAGGAACGGGGACAACGTACGGCCCTTGTCGAGAGAGAAACATGAAAGACTTACCATTGTCAAGGATTGAATGAATCATTCGAGAGCGAGAAAAAGACGAGACGTCCGAGGGAAAAAAGGTTGTGTATGAGATTGTGATTTTTTGAGGTTACCGTACCGGTAACCCACTCGATCGACTCCTTGTTTCCTTTCGCTTTTGAAATCAAAATGGTAGGTTCAGCGATAGCTTTTGATATCAAAATAGGGATATCAAAATAAATCAACGCTGTGTTTTGAAGTGGTCGTGTCGGCAAAGATAGAGTTTCAAAATGAAGTTTCGAACTCGAAATAAATGTTGTCGATGCTCTGGATTTTCCGAGTTCTTGCGTCAAATTAATTGTTGTGGCGCGTTTCGAGCCGCCACACGTCGGGCTACCGTATCCTCATCCCTGTCGTAGATCGCGGAGTGTCAGTGGAGTCATCAAGGCCGTTGGTGCTTCGGAAGGACGGGTCATTTTGCTTCAAATTCTTGTCGACGTGTCAACCCATTAAATCCGTCGGGGAAACCACCTGCTGTTTTTGAACCCAAAATCGAATGTGATTTGAAAGCGACACAACGACACAATACGACTGTACAAATCAAACATCGAGCTGCAAGAAACAAAGATCGAAGGCTTTGGCAACTGAAAGGATCTCTTGTCGTCCATAAGTTCCAACGCAACGCTGCATTCCATTTGTCAGAAGAAGCAGAAGCAGAAGAAGCGGAGAGGCGAGGCTGTGAAAAGAAGATTCTGTCTGAACTACAGCGAGAATCGTCTTTTAGTGGTGTGGCTGGACTCTTTTTCTTTGTTGGTTTGTTGGTTATCCTCATTCTTCATCATAACAAGCAACAACTGTCTGTTCATACACTGATAGCTTGCTAGCTAGCTTGGTTCAGTACTTCATAATCAACCAGCCAAAAGCCAATACACAAGAAAGAAAGCAAGAAGATGACGGAAGGCGTGGGAGATGACTTTTTCGATGATTGCAAAATGTCGGCAACGCCGATGATGCCGTCATCGTCTCTGGGAACTTCACCTCGCAATCGCAACAACACAACAACTACAAAACAAAAGCCTTTGGAGGAAGAGGTGTTGGAGGAGGCGGCAAGAAACGGAATCAGAATCGAAGACGGAAAATAATTCCTTCAAAAAGGAAGACGGCAATGGCAACAACGACTACCCAAGTTACAACAACCTGACAATCCAACAACAGTAATAATGATCCAATATAACCGGAGTCCTTCAAGTCGGAAGGCAATGGCAAGAAAAAGAACTACAATAATGCCAGAAGTCGCTCCAACTCTCCCATGACCGGCGCCGCCCGATCCAGGTCACCCAACGGTGGCCGATCCAGGTCGCCCAAGGGCTGCGGCAAGAATAATCGAAACAAACATCACAATGCCAACTCCAATGATCTCCATCACCACTACAACCCCAAAAAGGACGGTCCTCCCGATATCACCGTCGTTGTCAACCGCGTCGACTTGTACGACTCGGCCGCTCACATTGTCGCCGTGGCAGTCGATGGACCCAATCAACACCCGGCTCCTCCGTATCCCGTACAACCATTCAACTTTGATAAGAATCGACACGCCAAAAGTATCAACAAACGAAAATTCGCTGATTGTCTCGTGGCCATTCAACGAGTACCTTATTCCGTCAAGTACGTGCCCTGTGAAGATCTATTGGCGACGCACGAAACGGTACCATTGCCACCGCGGGCTCATTCTCCCTTGCCGCCCCATGGAGAATCCGTCGTTGACAATACCACTCCCAATCCATACGACAAATCCATTGACAAGTACTGGGCACAACGAAGACGACTCTTTGCCAAATTCGATCAGGGCATTCAACTCGATTCCGAAGGATGGTACTCGGTCACACCTGAAATTATTGCCGATCATGTTGCTCATCGAGTGGGGGATTTGGCGGCTTCGTCGTCGACAACGGGAGGCTGGGTCGTTCTGGATGCTTTTTGTGGATGTGGTGGAAATGGGATTGCCTTTTCCAAAGTACCTGCCGATCGCATTTCGCTTGTGATTTGTGTCGATACCGATCGCAACAAATTACGCATGGCGGCGCACAATGCCGCTCTCTATCATATCCCGCCCTCCCAAATTGTATTTGTCGAATGCAATTCCATCTTTATTCTCAAACATTGTTATCGCAATGGAGAATTCATTCTCGATCAACCCGATCTACTTATTCAAGCCGGAGCCACGCCGCCGCAATTGCCCTCTCCCGTGCACACGGAAGTCTATGAAGGATATCATATCGGTGGCATTAACATGTTGCCGCGGCGTATTGATGTCGTGTTTATGGATCCACCGTGGGGAGGTGAGTTTCAGCAGAAGCAGGGGACTACCAGGGCAGAGACGCAACTTTTTGTTACTAACAAGGCTTTTTTCGTTTCTTTCTCTTTTTTGACCTTTTAATCAGGGGTCGACTATGAGGTTCTCGGAAAGAATGGATACGACTTGGAAAAGAACATGAAAATTCGGTGTCAAGTCTGTCTAGAACCCGACGAGAAAGATACCATCAAAGATGACTTTTTCGATTCCTTTGCGACACAACCAGCAAACACACACCACAAATCGGGCAAGGCCAAGAAAAAGGCCAACTTTAACAACAATATCGTCGATGACTATGTCAATGGAGCAGATATGTTAAAGTATGCTGCTGCGGCCACGTCGACCCGACTAGTGCTCTACGACTTGCCACGAAACACGAACAAAACATCTCTGGGACAATCTGCGTTGGCCGCTGGTTATCGAGGGAACCTGAAACTGGAAGAACATTTCCTCAATGGTCGTCTCAAAACGGTCACGGCCTACTTTGGGACGGACTTTTCAAAGTTGCTGGATTCCACAGAAACGAACCAAGCCGAGTTGCATCAACCCGCATCGCCGTATCCAACAACGGATCAGAGCGATGACGACGAGGCCGACAACGAAAAAGAGTAAATAGAATGGCTTCATTCTACCTATCCTGGTTTTCGGCTCGTCTTTACTGTTACAATGTTGGACGGGAGACGCACGGCCAACGAGTGTGTCTCGTGGTGGTGGCATGTTTTGAAACCTGAATGAAAGAGATGCAAGAGATGGTCGTCAGTCCAGCATTACACAACAGTACTGTAGCATTGATAGTTAGAACAAGTTACAGTATCATACAACATTCCTCCATGTTGGCATTGAAATGTCCAAATCAGGTATCAAGTTTCAGTTCCTTCCGTATCTCCACTGCCTCATATGGCACGCTATCGTCTTTCATCTCCTCGTCGTCGTCGTCTTCGAGCAGACAGTACGTGATGGAATACCATGAGAGGCCCGCAACACGTAACGATAATGAGTAGAATCGAACAAACCAATGCTGTCTTGTTCCCGTGAAACCCACGTTCAAAGTCGTC